GAGGCAGGAGCTGGAGCACAGGCCATGGAGGAATGCTGCTTACTGGCTTGCTCCCCTGGCCCCTGCTCAGCCTGCTTTCTTATGCAACCCAGGCCCACCTGCCCAGGGGTGGCACCACCCACAGTGGGCTGGGCCCTCCCACATCGCTCATCAAGAAGATGCCCCTTAGACATGGCCACAGGCCAGTCCAATAGAGGAAATTCCCCAATTGAGGCTCCCTCAACCCAGGTGTGTCAAGTTGACACTAAAGCTATCCAGCACACCATAGCTCTTGACTGACTCTCAGTACTTGAAGCCAAGACCCTCTTGCTGGATACAGAATGTATTTGGTCACAGGATGTGGAGCAACAGAGCTTCAACTGACCTGGAAACCTCATCCCTGAAGACTAACTCACGTAGACTTAGAGGACAGTTGCAAGCACTAAGGGAGAAAATCCATCATTCAATGGTCCAACCCCAGATTTAAAGCCTAATAACCCAAACGACAATTAGTACAACAAACTATAGGGGTGCAGTAGTGGCACTTTTACTTTGGGGGTAATCACAGTTATCTAACCGAACTTAAAGCCTGCCCAGTTGGCGCGAACTCACGGGTGGCACTGTTAACATATCCAAAAACATGTGGCTGGGGAGGTCACAGATCCTAGAGAAAATTCTATCGCTATCATAGCTCTAGACAAACGAAATTTCTTACTGTATGCTAAATATGGATCCTTGTATTTACAGAGCTTGAGTCACTAGCGCTGCTGAAGAGGGAGAGTTGCTATTCTTTTGTGGAGAGGTCAGTGGTAGGTTGTTCATGTACCAGTGGGTAGACAAATATCAGGTGCATGTGGACTGTAATAACTGGATTAAGGGGGTTATTAACAACAATGAAAATAGGACTTGATGGGGTGAGGGAGATGACATGGAGGTATAGATGAATGGGTGTGATCAATATACACTATATGAATGTATGAAACTTTCAAATAATAAAAAATTGTTAAAAAACAAAGAAATAAACTCACAGATTTGTGGTCTACAGACTATTCCTAACCTGCAGACTCACCGACCTCATCCTCTTTCCCTGTAGCCAAGAAGGTCTGACCTTCACCCAGACCCTGGGGGACATGACAGTGCACCTCTTTGTCTCCACCTGTACACAGTGCTGTTCTCTTCACTGGATTTATTTGTCCTGATCTAAGGAACTCTATGTCCTAGTCAATTTTAATTTCAAAAATGAATAATACAATGTTGATACCAGTGTAAGAGCTTAGAGAAATGTCAGGCACAGCAAATGAGATTTTCTTTTCTGAGCTTGCCTGAAATTGCTGATCAACTGACACTGAACATGAAGAAAACGTTTTTCTGAATGACACTTATGTAGAACACATATTTTCTCTGTAAGGCCCACCCCAGTCTTATTCACAGCAAAATCAAACACTAGTGCAATATTATTGTGGGCCACTTTAAGAAACACCCATCAACAAAAGGAAGCGACGTTTGAAAAGCATGGATCTCAGTTTCTCATGGGAAGGGTAGGTGAGAGTTAGAATAAGCTGGGGTGTGCAGAGTTCTGGTTCACCTTCTCCAGGCTGTGGATTTCAAAGGACACCTAAAAGGTATCATATCTGGAGAATTTTACATGCAAACTTATTTTTACCAACTCTTCAACTTTTCAAAGATGGAATCTGTGCTAGACGAGGCTTAACTGTATCTACTTTTAGAAATATATCATATTAAAAGACTGAAAACATAGATATTTTATTATTGTCTATCTTCACAAAGTCTCGGTCGAAGCTGTGGTCTTCCACATTTATAAAACACAGGAAGAATTATTTATAGATTACTAAAAATTCTGAGTCTTCTAACCTAACAGTGTCACCATGGTTCAGAGTTACAGAGAATTGTTAAAAAACAGGGTGAGATTAGTTCCTATCTTTCTGTACATCCTCTGAATAGTTTGAAAATGTCAGGTGGATAATTCACATCCTCCATCAAATCTATTTTATATTTATTTTTGAGGTTTTGTGAATGGGATTCCCTGATTTCTTTTCCCGTATGTTAGTTGTTGGCATGTAGGAAGGCTGCTGAGTTTTGTGTCCTACAAGCTTGCTGAACGCACTTTCAAGCAGCTCTAGGAGATTCCTGGTGACATCTTGTGCATCTTTTATGCATCGAATCATGACACCTTCACAGAAGGACTTCTTTCTTTCCTATTTGCATGTTCCTTATTTCATTATCTTGTCTATTGCTCAGTCTAATACTTCAAGTGCTGTATTGAACAGGAGTGGAGAGTGAACATCCTTGTCTTGTTCCTTATTTTAGTGGAAATGCCTTGAGTTTTTCTCCATTTTGTATGACTTTAGCTGTGGGCTGGTTGTATTTTCCTATAATTATGTTGAGATATGTATACTATATCCCTAGATTCTCCCGCACTTTAATCATGAAAGGATGTTGCATTTTGTCAAAGACCTTTTCTTCATCTAATGAAATGATCAGGTATTATCTGTCCTTTAGTCTATTTGTGTTGAACTATCCTTACATCACTGGGATTATTTTTTGATGTGTTCTTTAAAATGATTTTTAATCATTTTGTTGAGAAATTTTGCATGTATGTTCAACAGGGAGAGAATGGCATATAATTCTCCTTGCTGGATCTTTGGGTATCAGGGTAACACTAGCTTTTATAAAAAGTGTTTGGAAAAGAGTCTTCCTTTTATATGTCATGAAGTAATTTGAGGAGTCTTGGTATTATTTCTTTTTAGAACATCTGTTAAAATTCTGCACCAAATCCTTTGACCTTGGGCTATTTTCTGTTGGGCTATATTTTTTAAAAAACAGTAATATTTAATGTTTCTTTGAGAATTACTGTATTTGGGGCATACTCTGACCCCGTCTTTAACTTCTCTCAGATGCCCCCAACTTTCTACACTTCTACTTCAGTTCCTCTAATTTTTAAGACTATCAAGTCCAATCCATGCTCCCCAAATGCTCTGGGGTTTGAGTCCATCCTTTGTGGCCTAGAAAAATCTACCCAGCACCACACCCTTAATGGAAACGGCTTCATCTTTCCAAGTAGTTGTCAACTGCCAATCAATTGTCCCTCAACCAGGGGCGGGGCTTCTTTGCCGCCTCCCACCTCAGTTCTTGTTTTTTGTTTTTTAACCTTGGGATTGTGCATGTCTCGTACATACTCTCGATGTTGTTGTGGGTTTATGTGTGTAACGAACTGTTGTGTCTGGAGAGTTTCAACAGACACTGAGGAAATTAAGAAGATCATAATGACATATTTTAAAAATCTGTATTTCATTAAGCCAGAAGTCCAAAAGAAATAGATGAGTTTCTATATACATATGACATAGCAAAGCTAACTAAAATGAAGTATATAGGTTAACTAGACTTATAGCAACCAATGAGATGGAAGCGATCATTTAAAAATCTCCCAAATTAAAAAATCCTATATTAAACCTCACCCACCCATGGCTCTTTATTTGCAGATCATATGCTTCTGTAAAAATAACTCCCCAAAGATGCCATCAGAAATCTACAACTGAGAAATGCATTCAGCAAAGTAGCAGGATACAAAATTAACACATAAAACCCAGCAGCTTTCCTACATGCAGAGAAGAAATATACCAAGAAAGAAACAATGAAACAACAGCAAAACAAAATAAAGGAAAAAAGAAACAAAAATACACATTCATAATAGCAAGAAACAGTAACATCTTGGAACAAATCTAACCAAGGAAGTGAAAGGGTTGTGTAACAGTAACTTAAGGTATTGAAGAGAGTAGCTGAAGAGGACACCAGAAGACGGAAGCCTCTGTGCTCATGGACGTGTGGGAAAATGTTGTTAACATGACTGTCCTGCCAAAAACAGGATGTGTACTGGGCCTTCAATTCAATTATAAAGAGGTTGGATACCCCCAGGATATTTGCGACACCATTGCACCAGTGGGGCATATCTTGCAAAGGCTGGTCATTGTTGTAGCTGGCAGGGTTCACATCTGGGTAAGACGGATAACTAAGTTCCTCTTCTAGTAGCCTGCGTCTCAACTTTTAGCACTACAAAAGCTAAACAGTATGGATGAGGGTGTCAGGTTAGCACCAGATTTCTCCATGTTCTGTGATTCAAGTATGTGGTGGCTTCAGCAACAGGTTCTGACTGTCAAGTTCTGGAGGTTCACCAAGAGCGATGACACTAGTCTGTAATATTTGGGTGTCTATGAGAACTCAGTGAACAACTCCAAAAGAGGACGCCCATTCCTGGCAGTGGACTTTTCATTTGTTAGAGTGTTGTGTCTAATAGGAGCAAAGATGCCCCATTACAGTACAGGATAACTCCATTTACTCTCTCTCTCTCTCTCTTTCTCTCTCTCTCTCTCTGCATGTATATGATTATGTATATGTATGTATTTTGGGGAGCTCTACAACAGTGGGTTCCCTATGATTTGTTCACTGCTCTGCAGGGTTCTTTGTCACGCTCTTTACTTTCTCCTCTAACTCGTTCTCATCTCCGTCCCGTTTAACTCTTTGGGATCCATTATTCCAGTATTTCTAAAAACCTCATGGCGTTGGATTTGTGTAGCACTGTGTCCTATCTCCCCTCCCTTCCTGCCTTGCAACAGCATCCCTTAGTAATTTCCTGACCTTCATGGCTATTTCAAATGAAATTCACATATCTAACGATTCAAAGCTAACATCCACAAATGATAGAAAACTTCTGACCTTTTCACTCTGGGCCTGGGCTCCCTCAGAATTATGTGTTTGCAGCTCCATCCATTCCATGACAAATTTTATGATTCCATTTTATTAACGGCCAAACACTGTTCCACTGTGTAGATGTACCATGTTTTCTTTACCCACGCACCCTCTGATGTACTTCTGTGATGGTACATATCTGTGCCATACGATAATATATTAAAATATTTTTTATTTGACAAATTCACATATACATAATAAATTCTAGTAATTTTCACCTATGTCACCCTCTCCCATCTCCCTCCCTCTACCACTGAAGCCCTGATTCTTCCTGACAATCCCTGCCCACTTCCACGAATGTCGTGTCCCACCAAGTGTAATTAGCACTGCTTGCAGGGGCATGGGGTGGGGGTTATTTTCTGTGGCACAGGCAATTTACAACTGATTACACCATTAAAGAAGAGATAGCCCTTCTCCAGCCAAGGTTTACTGTCAATAATCTTTCAGGGGGTGGTGGTCTGAGTGTTCTCAGAGCTGATCATAGTGTCCAAGGCAGAGTTAGGTCAGTCTGCTCTGTGTGAAACTCTGAAATTGTTCAGGTGAGAGTGCATCCTGTCTTTAAATACATCACAACAGAACACAAAACTTTCTGTTATTCAGAAACCTCACAAATTACTATGTATCCTAACTATTTACATGGTCCTTGGGAAAACCGTTCTGTGATATGAATAGGCAGAGGAAATCAGGAGGAGTCCAGCCCTTCATGGCCTAGTGCCCTTTCTCTGGGGTGAAGCTGAGCTCATTGTGTGTTCCCCGCCCCCTGCTGGTCCTGAACATCCTGCAGGGAGGTTTATGTCTGAGCTCACAGTAACATTCACTCACTGTGTCTCTTGCACAGTAATAGGTGGCCGTGTCCTCAATTCTCAGACTGCTCATTTGCAGGTACAGGGTGTTCTTGGCATTGTTTCTGGAGATGGTGAATTGGCCCTTCACAGAGTCTGTGTAGTATGTGCTACTACCACTACCACTGCTTATCCTTGCGATCCACTCCAGCCCCTTTCCGGGAGCCTGGCGGACCCAGCTCATGTAGTAACCACTGAAGGTGAATCCAGAAGCCACACACGAGAGTTTTAGGGACCCTCCAGGCAGCTTATCCTTGCGATCCACTCCAGCCCCTTTCCGGGAGCCTGGCGGACCCAGTCCATGTAGTAACTGCTGAAAGTGAATCCAGAAGCCACACACGAGAGTTTTAGGGACCCTCCAGGCTTCACCAAGCCTCCTCCAGACTCCACCAGCTTCTCCTCACACTGGACACCTGCAAACACAGAGAATTTGGGTCTGGAAACTGTCAGACATACACTGTCCCTTTCACGCATGTTCATTCACACAATCAATATTTCTTCTTCTTCATAAATTACCTTTTAAAAGCACAACAAGGAAAAGCCAGCTCAGCCCCAGCTCCATGGTGAGTCTGTTCAGTGCTGGTCACTGAATGGGAACACAGGGAATGCAGGGCTGGGCTCCTCTGCTGAGCTGCAGGGTCAGGCCTGGGCTGGTTTTCATGAGCAGAGGGAGCCCTATTTGCATGTCCCCCTGCTGAAGGAAAAGCCAGCTCAGCCCCAGCTCCATGGTGAGTCTGTTCAGTGCTGGTTACTGAATGGGAACACAGGGAATGCAGGACTGGGCTCCTCTGCTGGAGCTGCAGGGTCAGGGCTGGGCTGGTTTTCATGAGCAGAGGGGGCCATATTTGCATGTCCTCCTAATACATAACAGGATGGGGCTGGACTCCTTAAAGAAGACAATTCTCAGAGTAGATCTGAGGGTACTGATGGGAGTCATAGAATGTGAGACAGTATGTGTAACCTGCAGGTTTCTGAGCTCATCCTGTGTCACCTGCAGCCATACAGGCTGATCCTCACCCTGACCCTGGATAACATGATGGTAAATACTTGACCATGTACATGGTGGGGATCAATCTCAAGTCCTTAAGCTTGGTGTCAAGTACCTTTACCAGTAGATCTATCTCAAGCCTACTAATGATATAATCGCAATTACTATGGAAATCTACAACTTGTTACACTCTCTGGTTTTTTTTTTTTCATAATTTAGAATTCTACTTTTTCTGATAAAGGGCATATTTTATAGTATCTACATATTGAAACAATTGAATATAAAAATGATAATAACCCAATTTGCAGCAAATGAAAAAGCATAGCATATTAGGGAAGCGATGTGAATCAGCACTACTGCAGAACAGGTGTCAACATGCCATGGTCGTGTGCACGCTGACACCATTGCTGTAGGTTCGTATGAGAAGAGTCCCAGGAGCCTGTAGGACCATTTCCATATGGTCCTGCACCTCCTTCGTGGCTCTAACAATCTTTCTGCCCCTCTTCTGCTATGGTCCCTGAGCCCTGGGTGGGTGGATTTTAATATAGGAGTCCTGACCAAGGACTTACACTCTTATTCTCTGCGATTTGGCCATTTGTGGCCGTTTGTGTTCCTGGCCCTCTGGTGTATGAGGGAGCTTCACTGATGAGACTTGAAAGATGCATTAGTGTTCGCGTCATCCCTTGTTCCATGTTCCGTGAGCCTTAGGTGTAGAGACTGCATCCTAGATGTGCCAATTAGGCTTGGGCAATTCACAGACAATCTCTGTGCATGACCAGTTATGGAACTCTGTAATAATCTCTGTCTGCTGGAAAATAAGCTTCTTTGATGGGTGGTGACTAGGGCACTTGTTTGTAAATTTAAGGATCCATATTTTGCATATAATAAGAAATTATATTTGTCTAGGATTGTGACAACCTTGAGATTTTCTCTAAGATATATGATGCTCTCCAGCCATATGTATTTGGCTAGGTTTACAATACCACACATGAGTTCCTTCACCCATTGAGCTGGTCGTTCAATTAGGTAGCTGTTGGTTACCCCCAAGATAAAAGTGCCACTACTGCACCAATCTCACTTGCTGTGCTGGTCACTGATGTGGTTTTTAGGCCTTGAAGCTGGGGTTGGAACATAGATTGGTATTCTCCCTTACCAGATTGCTTAGTGCTCTCCAAAGCTATGAGAGCTAGCCTTCAGGGGAAGTGGTTTCCAGATAATTCTAGCTCCATTGCTCCAAATCCTGTGTCTTAAGTATGTCCTGTCTTCAGCAGTAGGGTCTTAGCTTCAAGTATTGGGAGGCAATCAAGGGCAATGGCAATAGCCCATGTAATATGCAAATCTCTAGGACCACCCTGGCCAACAATTCAAAGGACGGTTTCTCTTGTCTGACACTCTTTCTTGTTATGTAGCCTTCAGCTATACTCATGATACATGTAGAGATATTGTATGGGTAACTTTTTAGTAGGTTTTTGGATTAATATGATTCCTTCTGGCTTTTTTTTTTTTTTGGTCTTTTTGAGACAGGGTCTCCCTGTAGCCCCAGCTGTCCTGGAATTCACTATGTAGACCAGGCTGGCCTTGAACTCACAGAGATCTGCCTGCCTCTGCCTCCTGAGTGCTGGGATTAAAGGAGTGGGCCACCATGCCTGGCTTCCCTCTGGTTTTTTATACTAGCTAGACACTATTTATCTCTCCTCTCTCTCTCCCTGTCTTATCCCCCCACCCCCACTTAAAGTGTTCTCATTTCCCTATTTCTCCCTTGATAATTCTCTTAGTTTCCTATGGTCCCACCACTCTTGATTTCCTTCTTCCCCTTTATCCTCATAGTTCCTTGTGTAGTAGAATTTTTGAATGCAATAGTTTGTAGTTATTTTTGGTACATATGTGATTAGAATTGTGATATCCCCTTGTTGGATTTGTCCTCTGATAAGCATGACGTGACCCTCCTTAGCTCTTCTACTAATTTTTGTTTGAAGAACATTTTTTCCAGGCATTAGAATAACTATACTTGCTTGATTCCTAGATTCCATTGCTTGGAATAATTTTCTCTTTATTTTCCCCCCAGTTGGTGTATATCATTTATGCTAAGGTGTGTTATTTTCTGAGGAAGCAAAAGAATGGATCCTGTTTCCTGATCCAATCTACTAGCCTGTGTCTTTTCATAGAGATTAGTTATGTTTACTAAGACTGTTTATATTCAGAGTTATTGTGGAAAGGTGTGTTAATTTCTGTCAGTTTGTTGATTGTATTGTGTTTTCTGACTTCTTTTTAATCGACTGTTCTGGTATTATTTATTTATTCCCTGTGACCTATTGGATGTCTGTTGCTTTCTTCAGAACAGAGAATTCATTGCTGGATCCTCTGTGGAGCTGTTTATTGCCCATGGATTCCATTAATCTGTTTTTATCATGGATTTTAAAATTTCTTTTCCAATCTTTAAAAAATTGCCTTTTACTCAGTAGTTAAGAACACTGGCTGCTGTTGCAGAAGACCCAGGTTCGAATCCCAGCACCCACATGGCAGCTAACAACTGTCTGTCTGTAACTCCAGTTCCAAGGGATCCGACAGCCTCTTCTGTCCTCCGTGGGCATTGCACAACACGGGTGCACTATTTACATGCAGTCAATACATGCATACACATAAAATAAAAATAGTAATAAATAAAATACTTGAAAACTGCCTTCTAATTGAATTTTTGTGAATTTCATACAACATATTTATATCTGCTCCCTTGCCCCCACATCCCTGTATTACCCCTACACAATTTAATTTATTATCTTATACATAAACTCTCCTCTCTCTCTGTCTCTGTCTGTCTCTCTCTCTCCCTCTCTCTCCCCCTCTCTCCTCTCTCTCTGTCTCTGTCTCTCTCTCCTCTCTCTCTCTCCCTCTCTGTCTCTCTCTCTCTCCCTCTCTGTCTCTCTCTCTCCCTCTCTGTCTCTCTCCCTCCCCCCTCTCCTCTCTCTCTGTCTCTCTGTCTTTCTCTCTCTCTCTCTCTCTCTCTCTCTCTCTCTCTCTCTGTCTCTCTCTCTCTTGGTGAGGCTTTTATTTGACTTACTTAGTTTTTCTTTTCCAGCATCATTTCGCATTGGTTCTTCAGTGATCCCATCTCTTTATCGGATTCTTCTTCCGTATTTCGTATCCCTGTCTTACTTCATTCGCCTCTTTGTGTTTGCTTGCTTTCAGTTGTTTGGTTATAATAAATCACTCTTTGATTTCTTTGCCAGGACAGGACGTTCTTCAAGTTCCTCTCGTGGTACCCATTACGGTGGGAATAGTGATTTTTGGAGGGGACATATTGTCTTGTGTTTTTGTGCTGGTTCTGTTTTTGTGTTTGGATTTGTGTGTTTTAGATTAGTTGATTGAGAGGGAGTGTAGGTCTGGGGCTGATAGTGTGGGGAGCTTGCCTGCCTGTGCCAGGAGCAAGGAGGTCAACTGCAGAAATATAGGCAGGCGAGTAAGTCCAGGAAGCCTGACCTGTGGGCCCAGGAGCTGTGCTGAGAGGGAGCTTTACTCTGAGAGGCCAGTGCCTGCGGAGTCCTTACCTGTCAGTGCAGGGAACTGGGGAGACTGGGGAAGTTTGATTTGAGTGGTCTGGGCCTGGGGAGTCCTTACGTGTTCACACTCAGAGTTGGGTGAGATGAGGAAGTTTCAAGTACATGTAATTTTTTTTTTAATTAAAAGAAGCATTTCATTACAACAGCATTAACCTATTCAATAACATTTTTCTGAGCTAGGGTACATATCTTTCAAAATTGGCTGTACATTTTTAGGTGTACAGATGAATTATTACACTTATATGATCTTTAACTCCTTCTAAACTCTATAAGACATAAAATTAAATGAGGTTCCAATGTTTAAAAAAGATCTCCACTTCGTTGTCAAAACACACAGTTTCATCCAGAAAAATTCATTCCAGGGCTCTTGACATTGAGACGTTTTCACATGCATTTCTAATCTCTATATACATGACTATCACTGGTCACAGTCACCCACCTTCTGAGCTCCTCGGCATCTGAGCATGAATACAAACTCGTCAGGTAGACAGCCTTCCTCTCCCACTAGAGCCTCCATACTCTGCTATCCCTGCCACTGTCCACTGTGCTGTCAGCACCCCCATCCATTCCCCCCTATCTGCCCTTCTGGTAAATCTAGTCAGCCAGAGGTCCCTGTTCCAGGAGGATCAGCTGTTCCTTAACAACGGCAATCCATTGTCAGTATTCCTTTGGATAGAATTGGGGTCTGCTGTTCATGTTTCCAGTAGTATGTTGGGTTACTGTCTGGAAGAGCCTTTATCCATCCTGGCCAAGAACTCAACTGAAGGTATCTCCTGTCTGGCTTTGCTGTTTGTCAAGTAACTTTTAGTTATATATAAAGTACATGTAATTTTTATATAACTAAAATAATGTTTTTTTAGGTAATTGTCACTTAGCTGTTTTATCATACTTTTGACAGTCCTTAGTTTTTCAGCAAACAAAGGTAACATTTTATTCCATGTTCTGCAACATAGGTAAACTGATTTTCCAGGGGTTTGAAGTTTTGAAGCCTTGCTTGACTGTATTGAAATTCTACCCAATGTAAATGGGACCTTTGAACCTCTTAGTTGCACTATATACATTTCCGAGTGAATA